CCTAACCCTAACCCTAACCCTAACCCTAACCCTAACCCTAACCCTAACCCTAACCCTAACCCTAACCCTAACCCTAACCCTAACCCTAACCCTAACCCTAACCCCTTTTAGGGTAACGCTCTTACGTCGTAGCTTTATTAACGTTACTAGGTTGTTTTAACTCTCTAAGCTAGAGGAATTAAACTTTAAAAGGTAATTACAAAAAAAGACAAGGTAAGGTAGTCTGTTGTTTATAGTAAAGTTAAAGCTAATACAAACAGGCTGTAATTTAGGCTACCTAAACTTTAGTAAAGAAGAGCCTTTAATATTTAAAGTCTTAGACTAGAATGTTAGTAGAGAAGAGGCTTTGTAGCGACAAAGTAGATAGAGAGGAGCGTATAGAGTAGAAGTTAGGTTATCTAGCAAAAATTACCTGTTAGTTAGAGCTTTATAATAAGTTTGTTACGACTATAAACATAAAGGCAGATTATTATAATTAGCTTATAGAAGAGGCGATATAAGTAAACTAGAACTATCTTACTGTCTTTAAAAAGTACGTGTCTTATTTTAAGAAAGTTATAAGTATCCCTTACCTTAATACTAAGTCGCCGCTAACTTAAAGGTAGTACGCGTACGATTTATAGAGATCTAAAGGAAGTAAGGAAGTAAAGGATACTGTAAAGGATAATACTAGTAACGAAAATAATAGTAGAAAGGACAGTAATAAGGATAAATAATAGACGACTAAGGGTCGAAGCGTCCTTAACAGGTAGGATTGTACTTTTAGGTTTTTTTTTTCTTTTTTCTTTTTCTAAGATATATAATAATAAAGTTAGTAGAGCTTTAAAGGGTGTTTACTAGTAGAAAGGTAGTTTAGTGTTTTTTTCTAAGATACCTAGGTTTCTAAGTTTTTATATAATAAATATAGAAGTCGTACTTTTATTACTACGACTACACTAGTAACATTATGCCTTTCTAACGATTATCTTAATATGTTTGTTTATATTCTTATAGAAGTAGGCTATCGTTAAGGTTCTGTCGTAGTTCTTACGAGTTTTTTAAATCGTTATACCCTTTTTATTTTATAAGATAGAATCTGTTTCTTTATAGGCCTTTATAGTTAAGAATAGCTTCTACTTTAAATGTTTCTTTGTCTAAGACTAAGATGTCTATTAGGCTTATAGAGACTTTGCCTTCTTACGCCTTATAGGGTTTTAGGCTTATAATTAGAAAGGTAGGATATAGCTATACTAATAAAGGGAGGCGTAGTCTATAGGTAAGTCTATAGTCCCTAATAACGTCTTTAATTTAGTAAGGGCTAATATACTTATCTACGAATTTCCTAGAGGGTTAACGTTACCTTAGGTATTTTGTTAATAAGAGTACCTAGTCTCTCTTTTTAAATAAAATCTTTTTCTAGTTCTAGTTATACTATTTCTTATACTGTTTTTAGGAATACTAAAGAAATATAACAATTTCTTTACGGCTACTTTATAGCTACTCTACTTGTATATTAGCTACTAGCGCCTCTACTAGCTTTAACTAGTTTAAGGGTATGTCCTTAAGACCTTACGGCTAGTACCTGTATAGTATGTACGATAGTGTTACGTTTATTATAGAGTACTATAAGGTATTATATACAAATTTAGTAAGATCTAGCTTAGTTACCTAGTCGTCTTATATAAAGCTATAGTAAGTTTAAAGGTAATACTTAATAGCTTAGTTTTACTGTTCTGTCTGCCTGTCTGTTTGTAAGTAATAGGCAGTACTAAGTCGCTACGATATTACTAGGTACTAGTAGAAACTACTCTAGAATTTACTTATAAAGAGAGAGCCTTAGTCTAAGACAATACTGTCTAGAATTCTAAATTGTCGTATAACGTAGTATATTAAGAGAGACGCTAGTCTGTCGCTAGTAAGACGATTAGTTATTAGAATATATAAGGAAAATTTTATAAATCGGTCTATAATAACAAGTATTAAATTGTATAGTTTGCCTACTACGTTATAAGAGTAAGGTAGCTACGTAATAAAATTAAGTAAGATCTCTTGCTAAGGTTTAGAAAGAATAAGGAACAGGGCTAACTCGCTGTATAGTAGATAAGTCCTTGCCTTTGTTCTTTAACAGATAGCGTAAGTAGAAACGTAATAGTAGACGTCTTTATTAAGACTCGGCTAAAAGAAGGATTAGAAAAGCCTTTTCTTTGTTTTACTAACTCTCTAGTGCCTTATAGTAAGTACGTTATAGAAAAGCTTTAGTAACTCCTTACGTAAGCCCGGATTATTAGGTATATATATACGTCTATAATACTATAGTAGCGTATTATCCTTAAACGTCTATAAGGACCTAGTAGTGCCTTAGCTACTACGCTACTTCTTCTACTCTTTATTAGTAATAAAGGCGTCTCTCTACTACGCGTTATAAAGGGCTTCTAATAGTAATAGTAGTAACGTTAACGTTGTCGTTACCTAGCTATTACTCTTACTAGCCCGACTCTAAGTAGAGTTCTCTACTAGTATAAGAGTGTTTAATTCGCGACTTAATACTCTAGTAATAAAAGCGTAAGGTCTCTAAGACCTACGATCGCCTTAGTCTACTAGCTAGCGTAAGTCTAGCCTCTTACGCTAGAGCGATTCTACTAAGACAGTATGCGTTAAGGAGGTCGCTAGACCTTTAAAAGGAATTAAAGGAATTAAAGGAACAGAAAGAATTAGAAGAATAAAAGGAATAAAAGCTTAGTTTTAAACAAGCCTTATAGCGAGACCGACAGCTTTTAAGGTAACTACGTTTACCTAGAATTTGTTAAGGAAAGTTACTAAGAGAGCTTGTTACGCCTCTAATTACTTATTAGGATCTTATAAGTCAGGCCGCTATAACAACCTATTAGTAGGGTTTTAGCTACTCTCTCTATATTTAATCTTAAAGTTAAAGACAGAAAGTTCTTCTAGCTATCTAGCTTACTACTATAATAACTTTGGCTTTATAAAGAGGTAACAGTAGTTTAGGTAATCTATTAAAACTAATACTAAACTTTGTATATATACTAAGTACGGCCTCTATAACCTAAAAGCCTTAATAATAGCTATTAACTTAGTGTTAGGGGTATTATAGCGTAGCTCTAGCCCCTTTAACTTTCTGGAAATAAACGTAACAAGGTACTAGTAGCCTTCTTATAGTTATAAAAGGATAGTACTAATAGTATAGGTAGATATATCTGTTTCTACGCGCGTAAGTAGTTTAGGGTCGTAGTAACGTAAGAAAAGAGCCTTTATAAAGACTAGTCGTAGCTTGTAGAAGGCTTTTAGGGCTTCGGAACTTAGTGTAATAGTACTAGTAGCGTCGCCTTAAAAGAGATTTGTTAGTAGTATAGTAATCTTTAAATAATTCTTAATAAAGCGCCTATAGAACCTAGTAAACCCTAAGAAGACACGAATGTCCTTTATAGTTATAAGAATAGGCTATTCTTAGATTATAGAGACACGCTTAGGTTTAATACGAACTCTCTACAAGTTAATAACGTATCCTAAGAAACCTACTTACTTTACATTAAACTCGTACTTTAAGAGGTTAGTATAGAGGTTATGTTATTAGAGACGTTTAAGGACGCGGTAAACATACTACGTATACTCTTCTTTATTTGTAGAGTAGATAAGGATATTATTAAGATATACGATACAAATATTATTAACAAGATTCCTTAGTACTTTATTAATAAAGGACTAAAAGGTCGCTAGTATGTTTACTAGCCTAAAGGGCATAACGTAGTATTTAAAGTAGCTGTATTAGTACTAGAAAGCCGTTTTCTACTTATTACTAGCCTTAATACAAACTTAATAGTACGCTTTACGTAGGTTAAGCTTAGTATAGACGCGGGCTTACGATAGGCGATTAAGGATCTCTCTAATTAATAGAATAGGGGCTTAGTTCTTTCTAGTTACACTATTTAACGCCTAGTAGTCGACGTAGAGTCGTAGCTTCTCTCTTTTCTTTAGAACAAATAGTATTAGAGTACTAGTAAGGCTCTTACTTAGACAGATCTATTCTTTTACTAGGGTGTTATCTAAATATTCGTATAAGACACTTAGCTCGACCTTTGTAAGTAGGTAGATTCGGCTATATAGTAGTACTACGTCTCCTTTAAGGTCTATTACATAAGTAGGGCTATTAATTATAGGTAGCGATCTAGCCCCTTCCTTAGAGAAGACGTCTGTAAATTATTAGTACTTACTAAGTAGGCTTACTACAGCCTTACTATCTTCTTGTAGTTCTTCTTATAGTTCCTCCTTACCTAAGGATTCTAGGTCGACTATAATTAGTTATACTGTCGCTATAATTACAAACTAGGCTTCTTTTATTACCTTTCTAATTTCTTTCTTTATTATATATAGCTAGACTATTAAAGATAACATAAGGTATATAAACGTCCGGGTCTTTTATAAAACGATTAGGTCTATAGCCTCTAGCTATAGAAATCTAAGTATAATATCTAAGTCCCTAATGTTAGTAATAACAAATCTGCCTTAATGTCGCCTTACTATTAAGTAGTTATCTTAGGCCTTAACAAACAGATCGTATAATCTAAAGCTTGTCGTTGTTTTCTAGAATAGTAAGGACACTATAATGTGATTATTAAGTTACTATAGTACTTCTTATCTTAAAAGTCGTAGGTAGATAAGGTTGACTTTTACTCTTAAGTCTAGTAGGGCTAGTATAGCTACCTAGCTACCCTTAATACGTATCTCTACCTAAATGCTTATTAAGGGTCGCTCTTCTTCTTATTGTTTAGGCGTAACGTAGCAGGCTACTAGCGTAGTATTAGCGTCTAAAGTACCGGCCCTGTTAGGGTACTAAGCGTAAGTATGCCTAGATTAACTATATATAGAGCATTTGTATAGTAGGTACGAATTTACCTAATAACCGGGCTACTAGTATTAGTAGTAGTTACCTTATACCTTACTTACTAAAGGGGTTTTCGCGACACTAAGAGAGTCTTTTTATATGTTTAAAGTTTGGCTACTAGATGTCCCTTACGTGTTTACTAGTGTAGATAGGGTCTTTAGATTATAAGAGGAGCCTCTCCTAGTATAGTATAGTATTAAAGGGGCTCTGTAAGAGCCTTCTTGTTACCTTGTCTAAATAAGAGTTTCCTCTCTTAACGCTACTACCTTAACTACCTTAAAGGTATTTAAGACCTCGCTACTTACTATATAGGCCCTTAACTTAGGCTTTAAATAATCGATAAGAAGGTAGATACAGAATATCTCTAGGAAGGCATAGCCGAGTTTAATAACTAAAGAGTTATACTATTAAAGGAAATTCCTAAAGGTCTTGTTTTAGTTTTAAGTTAACATTTAGAGTTTTAATACTACTTTAAGAGAGTAGGTACCCTTATCTATGATACTATAGAAGAGCTATACCTTTATTTCTCCTTAAGTTACATTAAGAACTAATCTGCCTTTTTCTAAGAAAATAAAAGACTTCTAGCGCTCTTTAATGTAATCCTTTAGTACTACTACTATAGCGCCGACACGTTTAGTATCTGTTAGATAACTCTTTAGATAAGTGTCGAACTCTGTTTTCTAGTTAAATAAGAAGGTCGTAATACTAGTATATGTCTTGTTTTTTAGTAGAATAAAAGGAGTATTATAATAGCTCTTCCTTGTTTTTTTAACATAAGTTCGCTAGAAGGGCCGTTCTACTTTAGGAGGGTTATCGAATTCGTATAGGTTTATCGAGAGAGCCTCTTCTCTCTTAAGCGCTATAAGGTAGTCTCGTTTTTACTTAAGGCGCTACTCTACCCTTACTTAGGCGATCCTCTCGTTTAACTTAGTCTTACTTAGAGAAAGGATTTCTGTTAACATTTAGGGAGTTATACTAGGTTTACTACTATCTACTTATAAAGAGGTATTCTAAAGAGTTACTTAAGAAGAGGCCTATATCTTGTTAAGGTTTATTTATCGTGTCTACGTTATTACTTCTTACTCTAACGGTCTATAACCTTTTAGTAAAAGGAAGAGATTAGAATATTAGGTATATTTTTATAGAGTAGAAGAGGTAAGAGTTAATAGATAGTCGTAGTATATTTAAAGGTATATTACTACTTTAACTATAGACTAATCTCTAAACCCTCTTTCTTTCCCCTTCTTGTCCTCTATTCTTATACTCCTTAATGCCTACTATTACCTCGGTCGTAGCACGTAGTTACCCTGTACTTGATTTCTAAGCTATTGTAATTTCACGTGTTAGTGTACTTAACAAAAAGGTTCTCTTAACTTTAGTACTAATATTATTAACTAAAAGCTATATAGCGGCTACGTCTCTTATCTTATAGGCCTAATAGTAAAAGGTACTCTTAATATTAGTACTAACATTATTAATTAAGGGCCGTGTACTATCCTTACCCTTTCTTTTATAATAGCCTTAATAGCTAGAGGTACTATTAACATTAGTACTAATATTGTCTACTATACTATCTTTACCTTCTCTCTAAGAATAGCTATAACGGCTAAAGGTGTCCTTAATATTAGCGCTAACATCCTCTCTTAGGGTAGTAGTAGTAAGGCCCTTAGCTTTAGTACTAACGTTCTCTAATATATTAGCTAGCTAGATTAAGACACTATAAGAAGCGTCTAGGCATAAGATAGTAACCTTAGTGTTAGCTAAGATAATATCTAGCTATACTATAATACTTGTCTTAAAGGACTAAGGCCTAGTGCTATAAGGCTAAAAGCGTAAGGTAGTAGACAAAAGGGTAAGGCGGCTAAGGCTAAGGTAAAAGATAATAGACAACCTAGTACTAGTAAGAAGGCAGATTATAAGGGCGATTAAAGGCCTCTAGAAGGTATAAGAGACACTTAGTAGCCTAATTAAGGACTTATAAAAGACAGACAACAAGCTTGTGTCTACTTAACTCTTATAAACTATATTTAAGTAAGAGTTAGTAGTACTATAGACCTAAGGTACTAAGACTATAGTACTTAGCCTAGGTAATAGTAGCCTAGCGCCTAGGTTAGGTAGTAAGGACAAAAGGATAGTAGCCTAGCTTATAAGGTAGTAAAAGGCGATTAGAATGTTTAAGTACGACCTAAAAGAGACTAAGAAGGAGTAGGTAGCGCTCTAATATATAGTATAAAAGACAGGTATATATAAAGAGTTCTAAGAAGTAATCTACGTAAAGAAAGAGTAGGCGTAAGGCTATAAGAGGTCTAGCTAAGCTATGTTAACGTTTAAAGGCTAACGCTAAGAGTATAAACAAAGTACTATACACTACTTAAGTAAGAGTTTAACTACCTCTAGATTAGAAAGACGTAGTTTATTAAGTACGTGTAGTATAGGCGTAACTAGTAAGTAGTTAAGGTAAGTATAAGAAAGGAGAGAAGTATAAGAGAGTAAGTATATAAAAAGGGTAAGGTATACCTAATAGTAATATAAGTAGTATAAGGATAGGTTAAGTAGGTTAAGGTAATAGTATATAGTATAATAGCGTAAGTAAGTAAGGTCGTATACGTTAGGGTATACTTACTACCTAAGAGTATAATAATAAGTAAGATGTACACTAAGCTAGCTAGGTACATAAGGGTGAGCGTACTCTTTAAGGATATTAATACGCGCTTTCTAGACTACGCGTAGTAGTAAAGGGTACTTAGGCTATAAGACTAGGTTAAGGTATAATAAGAGTTTAGTTAAAAGACAAACTTATAGTAAGTAGTACTAGTAATAGACAAAAGGTAGCTAATAGTTAACTATACTTTTATCTAAGGCTACTTAGTAGCTAAGGTAACCTTTAGACTACTAAAGGTAGTAGTGTAAGTATAGACTAACTATATATACGTACTCGCGCTACGGCTACTAGTATAAGAAGAAGGCTAGGTAGTATAAGAGAAAGAAGAGAGAACGCTTGTCTACTTTTAGGTTACGTAACTAGTAGAGCTCTAGGTCTAGAAAGAGATTATTATAAAGGTAAGGTAAGAGCGTAAAAGGCTAATCTTTAAAGAAAGAGATAGTGTAGATATAATAAATATAAAGCTAGTAAGGTAGTACTAAGAGATATAAGCGTAAGTACTTAGGTAAGTAAGAAGTAAAAGGATAAGTAAGAGAGTAAGGTAGCTAAGGTAGCTAGAGGTCTAGATAAGACTTAAGAGTAAGCGGCTTTATAAAGAGGTAGTATACGACTCTTATAAGAACAAGCTAATTATAGTAACGGCTAAGGTAGTAGTATAAAGAGAGGATGCCTTAGCTAAGAACGCGTAGATCTTTAATAAGTAGTAGTAAGGTAAGGGCTTTATATAAAAGGTACTAATAAGGTAAGAGCATTAGTAGTTATAGGCTAAGCTTAAGAAAGAGATTAGAAAGTAGGCGGCTAATAAGAGCTATAAGGTAGACAAGATCTATATCTAGTTCTTATAAGTCGTAAAGGCGATAGTAGTTAAGATATAGCTCTTATACCTTTATAATATATATATATAATAAGAAGAAACGCTATAGGCGTAGAACTAGGCTAAGGTATACTTCTTAACTAAAGATAATAAGTAGTAGTAAGACGTAGTAAACCTTTACCTTATCTTAATCGTATATATCTTTTAGAAAGTGTTTAAGCGGCTTTTCTTATACACGTACTAAGGGAAAGGGTAGGCGTGCCTCTACTAGGCCTAAGCTAGGTTCTAGCTAAGGTACTTAATATATATAAACATAGCTATAGTATATATAGTACTCGTGACCTAAGAGTAGATAATAGTAGTCTTTCTTAACTTTTAGGTAGTGTTTAATATAGTCCTTTAGGCGCGGCTTAACTAAAAGCTAAGGGCGCGTAGGTACTTGTTAGAAGTACGCTCTTTCTTATAAGGACTAATGTTTATAAGGTAAGTATAGTAGGTACTTATAAACAAGAAGGTATTAATATAGTTTAGGTAAAGGTAGAAAGTACTCTAGGGCTTGTCACTCTCTTTATAGCTCTTTAACTTATATATTAACGACCTACTTAAGTAAGTAAATAGTAAGGTAGTAAGGCTCTTAACGTACCTCTTTTATATAAACAATAAGGTACTTGTAACGTAAGGGCTTAATAAAGTATAGGCGCTTCTAGTAAGGGTTAAGGTATAGATAAGAGAGAACTAGCTATAGCTAAACCTAGCTAAGTATAGATACGTAATAATAGTAGTAAGAGAAGGAGGGCTTATAGTATATAAGTAGACTGTCTCTTAAGTTATAATATATA